GGGCTGGCACCAGTCCCTATTGCCCCTAGAAGCAGGGGGAGGGGAGAAGCCCTCAGGGGTGATCGGGGCCAGCAGCCGCTGTTCCCACCTGCTGACAGCTCCGAGTGATCGGGACTGGTACCAGGCGCCAGCAGTGGGTGTGAGCAGCAGTTCCAAAGCAGGCAGCAGGTGCAAGCGGGACCGTCGCTGGTAGCAGATGCAAGAGGCAGCTGCCAGCCCCAATTGCTTCTCAGGAGCAGGGGAAGGTAGAGAAGCCCTGAGAGGTGCAGTGGGTGTGAGCAGGGCTGGCGCCAGTTATCAGGTGCAAGCACCAGGCGGGACTGTGGAGCATGGGAGCAAATAATTTTCAGTTACCACCAGAGACTCCCCCCGATGACAGTGACCAGCGCCCCACCTTGGTCTGGCACCCCCACTTACTTGCTTTACCATCCCACCGCAGCCAACACCTGCCATCTTCCATGCATGACCCCTGGTGGTCAGCGCACATCATAGCGAACAGTTTCAGTTGTTCCACTGTTCTATTTGCATATTAGTCTTTTATTAAAGAGGATAGGATTTATTTATTTATTTATTTTTAATGTATTTTTGTTGATTTCAGAGATAGAGAGGGAAACAGAAACATTAATGATGAAAGGCATTCCCCATACTGGGGATTGAGCTACCTGGGCATGGTACCCTGATTGGGACCAGAACAGTGACATCCTGGCCCATGTTCAACCACTGAGCCATGCTGGCGGGGCTATTTATTTTTTGTTAATCTTCACCTGAGGATATTTATTCCATTGATTTTTAGAGAGAGTAAAAAGGAGGGAAGAGAGAAAAAGAAGGCAGAGAGGAAGGGGGAGAATGTGAGAGTGACACACAGATTGGCTGCCTCCCACATCCTGTGATGGGGCTGGGTATCAACCTGCAAAGCATGTATGTGCCTGGGAATTGAATCTGAGACCCTTCTGTGCATGGGCTGGTGCTCTAACCACTGTACCACCTGCCAGGACCAATGCTGGAGCTCTTGAGACAGGTGGGAAGGTCAAGCACTATCCCACAGAACTCTGTCAGTGCTTTTCACTTCATTTTTTGATGAAACAAGAAGCAAACAATAATTCCATGTGCAAAGCATTGAGCTGCAGACAGACATAGCCATGGCCTTTGGAAGTGGGGAGGGTAAAAACACTGGTGGTATAAGAAAACTACCAGATTAAGTGATGTTAAATCATCTGTGTTGGGGAGTGGGGTGGGGAGGGGGGAGGCGGGGAAGACGACAGGACTCCAGAAGTTCAGAGGAAATGCTCATTGGTCCAATTCATTCTGCTCAAACAGAGCATAATAAAAGTGAGATTATCCTACATTTAAAGCTTCATGGCTCTGAAATTGCAATTTAACCTGATCTTTTATTTTTTAAATATTTTAAAAATATATCTCTTTATTGATTTCAGAAAGGAAGGGAAGAGAGAGAGAGATAGAGACATCAATGATGAGAGAGAATCATTGATGGGCTGCCTCTTGCATGCTCCCCACTAGGAATTGAGCCCGAAACCCAGGCATGTGCCCCTGGCCAGAATCAAACCCAGGGCCCTTCCGTCTGCAGGCTGACACTCTACCCACTGAGCCAAGCCAGCTAGGGCTTAACCTGATCTTTTAAATTGATTTTCACCTTTAGCAGCAAGTGCAAGCAGGATAGAGCTGATTCAGGACAGTGTCTCTACACGTCAAGCCAAGAGATACTCTACAGCTAAAGATACTCTACAGCCGAAACCGGTTTGGCTCAGCGGATAGAACGTCGGCCTGTGGACTAAAGGGTCCCAGGTTCGGTTCCGGTCAAGGGCATGTATGTTGGTTGCGGCCACATCCCCTGTGGCAGATGTGCAGGAGGTGGAGGTGGCTGATCGGTGTCTCTCTCACTGATGTTTCTAGCTTTCTATCCCTCTCCCTTCCTCTCTGTGAAAAGTCAATAAAATACATTAGAGAGGGGGGGAGAGAGGAAGACAAGAACATCTCTCACCACAGAAAACTGGAGGCCAGTCTAACAGGTCACCTGCTCCAGTGCAAGTTAAAAAAACTATTCATGAGCACGTGCTAGGATTGCATTCAGGAGCATTGCACAGTCCTACCACCTTCCTGACAAATTGAAAAACCCATTTCAGCTTTCTCCACACCTGCCTGGGGTCTACAGATCTGTGACTCAGAAAGTACCTAATTGGGTACTTTCCCCTTTTCTTTTCTCTTAAGGGGACGTGTCAACAACTTGCAAAGGCATTTTCCCACCAATTACTAGAGGTGGGGAAATTAAGCCACAAAAATTCTCCCACAAGTGGTTTTCATACTGAAATATTTCTGCAATTTACAAGCTACGAAGCTAGAAAGGACATATTTCAACAGACTTGCCAACTGTGTGGGTGCAGCATTCCGAGAGGAATTACTCAGGTTTTAAATTTCAGGTTCAAAATGACCTAATTTTTCACTCCTTTACAATATTATTCTCAAAACGCAAGTCCAATGCCATTTAGAAATAGGAATTAAATTAAGACTGATCAAATCACTTAATCAAAATGCAAACATTTCCGTCATAAGGCCCCATAAAGATACCAACTTGTTTTAACAAGTTGGATCTAAGATGAATGTATTACAGTTCATATAATCAGGGGCTTCAACTGCAAGAACACTATCCAAAAGACACGAGTAAACATGGAGAACATACACGTTCAAGAAAAGTCACATGGGCCAAACGCGTACAGCAAAGACACACCTTCCCAAGTTTTCAGTTTTTCATGGCTTCCTTTAAAAAAATCAGCACACCTTTATTTCTATTGCTTTAATCCAGGTCAAAAGAGTAAAACGGGCAAAACTATTTCGCTGTACTATAGCTAGCCGTTCAGGAAGGCTCAACATGCCCCGCTAATTGGTGCCAGGAAAAGTCTAGGCTCTGTGGCAGGTATAATGAAGAAGAAGGCAGGAAAAATTGTATTCTCTTTAAAGGAGAGACCAATACAAAGCCTGGTGAGCATAAGGAGGAGCCTCTATGAATGTGAGAAATAGGCGAAGACTGAGGTCCAGGGAAGACATGATTGGCTGGAGAGCGAAGAGAGGAAAGCTCCGGGAGAAAACTGTAGAAAACCAAAGGAGCCGAGCTACACGGCGAGCGGCCGGGAGTCCAGTTCTAAGGATCTATCGGGAAGCAGGCACCAACGGTTCCAACACAGGTTTCCGCGGGTCACAAAAGGATAACGGACACCCTCCCAACGGCGGGCCCGGGGGCTCCGCACGCCACTTCCACCTGCCGGCTCCGCGCGCCCAATCTGCGCTCCGCCCCGGGCCCCGCCGGGCCGTGCGGGAGCGCGGCGGACCACGGACATTTTCCGTTCGCTCTGTTGTCCGCCCACACTGGTCGCAGCCGACATTGCCTGCCCGAAGGCAGTCGCCAAGAGCAAACGCCGTCCCGCGAGAAAAAGGAGACTCAGGCGTTTCTCGTCAAAACAAGACTTTATTGGGGGCGCCGGGGCTGCCTCGCACGCGCCGCCCGCTTCCCCACGCGGTCCCCTGGTTCTGGTCCCCGCGCTCCGTCGGCCGTCCCTCCCCCGCGGTGCCCCGGGCCGCGCGCACCGCTCACCAGCTCCCGAGGTAGCGGCTGCCGCGCGGCGTCGCCCGGATCCCGAGTGCGGCCCGGGCCTGGGGCGACGGACTTTGCCGCTGTTGCACCGTGGAGGGCGGGAGTGACGTCACGCGCCGCGGGCCAGTGACGTCACGCGCCGCGGGCCAGCCAGCGCGCACGGGGGCCGTCCCGCCTGCCCCAATCCGGGAGGAGCCCGGGAGAGTGGGCGGGGCCTCAGTGGCGAACGGCAGACCGATTGGCAGAGGAGGAGGAGCGAGAGGGCAAGCTGGCGAGTAGGAGCGAGGCGGGGTGGGCCGGGACAGCGCGGAAGTCTCGCGAGGCGAGCTCGAGCGCAGTGTGGCGGCGGCGGCGGCGGCGGCGACGGCCTGATCTGGGCTCAGGGTGAGGAGTTGGTATTTGTGTGGAAGGAGGCGGAGGTGCAGGAGGAAGGGGGAAGCGGAGCGCCGGCCCGGAGGGCGGGAGGAGGCGCGGCCAGAGGAGGAGGCCGAGGCGCGGTGAGGTGGGGCGCCGGGGTGAGCAGCGGCCGAGCGAGCGCGGGGCGCACCGAGGCGAGGAGGCGGGGAAGCCCGCCGCCGCCGCCGCCGCGCCCGCCCCTTCCCCCTGCCGCCCGCCCCCTCTCCCCCCCGCCCGCCCGCTGCCTTCCTCCCTCTGCCTTCCTTCCCCACGGCCGGCCGCCTTCTCGCCCGCAGCCTCGGAGCCGAGGCCGCCGCGGCCGTGGCGGAGGAGCCCTCAGCCATGGCCTCGGGCGACACCCTCTACATCGCCGCGGACGGCTCGGAGATGCCGGCGGAGATCGTGGAGCTGCACGAGATCGAGGTGGAGACCATCCCGGTGGAGACCATAGAGACTACCGTGGTGGGCGAGGAGGAGGACGACGACGACGATGAGGACGGCGGCGGCGGCGACCACGGCGGCGGGGGCGGCCACGGGCACCTGGGCCATCACCACCACCACCACCACCACCACCCGCCCATGATCGCGCTGCAGCCGCTGGTCACCGACGACCCGACCCAGGTGCACCACCACCAGGAGGTGATCCTGGTGCAGACGCGCGAGGAGGTGGTGGGCGGCGACGACTCGGACGGGCTGCGCGCCGAGGACGGCTTCGAGGACCAGATCCTCATCCCCGTGCCCGCGCCGGCCGGCGGCGACGACGACTACATCGAGCAGACGCTGGTCACCGTGGCGGCGGCCGGCAAGAGCGGCGGCGGCTCGTCGTCGGGCGGCGGCCGCGTCAAGAAGGGCGGCGGCAAGAAGAGCGGCAAGAAGGGCTACCTCGGCGGCGGGGCCGGGACGGCGGGCGGCGCGGACGCGGGCAACAAGAAGTGGGAGCAGAAGCAGGTGCAGATCAAGACCCTGGAGGGCGAGTTCTCGGTCACCATGTGGTCTTCAGGTGAGCGGCCGCGCGCGCCGGCCCGCGCCGGCCCCCGGGATGTTTTTGTTTTGAAGGGAAGCCATGTTTTATGTGTGTGATGGGCGCCGCCATCTTCTTCGCAGGGCAAGTATGGCGGCCCCAAAAGATGGCGGGCGGGCGGGCCGCGGCGGGGGCGGCGGGCGGCGGCCACGGCCCGAAAAGATGGCGGCGGAGGAGCGGCGCCGCCCGCTAGGCCGCAATGGCGTAGTTTCCCTGGGCTGGGCGGCCCCGCGGCGCGGGCGGGGCGGGGCGGGGCGCGCTCGGGCCAACGGACGGCCCGTCGGCTCGTTGTCCTTGGCGCCCGCCCGCCCGGCTCCCCGCGAGACCCGGGGCTCGGGGCGCGAAGAGGGCGTTGGTGGGGCGTACGGACCTCGCGCCTGGCCCGGCGGAGCGTGCCGCCGCCGCCTTTCCCCCGCCTCCCAGTAGAGGGCGTCGCTCACCCTCCCGGCGCCCCCGCCCCCTTCCCCGGACCCTCCACTGCTCCCGGGAGGCGCCTTCCGAAGGGGGCGGGAGTGCCCGGGCCCTTTGCTCCCACGCACCGCGCAGGCCAGGCCCCGCCCGCGGCCGCGTTCGTCTTCGCGGGGCGGGACTTGGGCGGCGTCTGCGGGCTTGGCGTCGGCCGGCCTGTCACCGTGTCGCGGCCCGGCCTGCACCGCGCTCCCCCGCAGCACGTCGTGGACAAGGGGCCACGAGTGTTTGTAGATAATTGTTAGCTCTTGACGCTTCCGGAAGTTCTTTTTTGAAGTATGTCTCTTTGCAAATAAGTTAGTTGGCTATTCCACTAAATAAAATCGAGTTCTTGGTAGAAAGCTACCTTATTTTTCCCGTGAAAAGTACTCTAGAAAAGCGCCTTTTTCTATTTTAATACTGCTTTGAATGAAGACCAGAAAAGTATCTCAGGCATGTGTAAATCTCTTACATGGGGTATTTATACTTCTCAAAAGGCGGTTTTTTATGTATCTTATTTATGAATCTAACAAGTTAAATTGCTTGGGATATTAAATAGGCTGAGAATAATCCTGCCGTAGCTAATCTAGTACCTGTGATGGTTAAGTTTAGTACTAAGTTACTTCAATGCTATTTCATAAATTCTCAAAGTTGCATGGAGTCTCAAAATGTGACTTTTGAGTATTAAAGGGTTTTTAAAATTTAGAAGAATGATTTAAATAGAAGGTGAAAAGTCTGGACTGAAAAGCTGGTCTGGTTGTATCTACTGAAAGCACCAAGTTGAGATAACTAATAACTAAAGCTGTTTGGATGTGGCTTAGTTCTGTGACTCAGAACTAAGCAAAGGGGATCAGAGCTGCTGCCAAAATCCCAATAGCAAGTGCTAACAGGCGCTGCTCTGCATTTCAGAGGGCCTTTAGCTTAGCAGGAGCTCTGTTAAAATGAAATTACAATATTTTAGGACCTACTGGTTATCAAAAGATGCCTTCTGTATGTCTTGGTAGCTCACTGAGTATATTGGAACTAAAAGCCATGTTTTTGCACTGATAGGCATGGAATAAGAGAGGAGAAAAAGTGTTGGTTATATTGAGTTGGCTGAATGGAGGGTTTCTTTGAAATTCGATATTTAGTTAGAGATATATTATCCACGTAACATTAAATTTACTTTTTCTTATGGTATGGTCATGTTGGTTTTATGGTAAATTAGAAAACCAGGGAATTTTTACAGATTCTGCATTTGATCTTACTAAATTGCTAAACTATTTTCAATACCTTGAAAATTTGATAATGAGGCTTTACTTGATGAAGTGGTTCATATCAAATCAGTCAGGGGGGAAAGTCTCAGGGCTTGACTAATGGTAGTTAATTTACACTTAAGTCTAGTTTAAAAGTCATTACTATCCCTGTGCAAGTGGCTGCTTACCTGGTTGCACAGTATGGGGTAATTGTCTTCCCCCATCCCCCCCCTTTTTTTTAAAGAATGTCTGGTGTTACAGAATCCTCTGTGCATAAAGGTGATAAATATTTGATGCAATAACATAGTACAGTCTATTTTCTAAGACTTTTTGGTAAACTAGCCCTCTTCTTGTGGTTTGGAATTATTGCCAATGAGAAGGTAAATAGTTGGTAATTAACTATACCTGTCCCAAGTTAAAATTCTGCATACACTGTAGTTTCATCTTCAGATCTGAAATAAGGAGCTAATTGCTAAGAGGTGAAGAAATCAGTCCTGTGGGCATGGCTCTGTGGTTGAGTGTGTCGACCGAGACTGGAGGTCAGTGCACATGCCTGGGTTGTGTGTGGCTCAATCCCCACTGGGGCTTATAGGAGGCAGATGATCAATGATTCATCATTGACGTTTCTGTCTTTCCTTCTCACTTCCTCTCTGAAATCAATAAAGATCTATTAAAGAAATCAAAGCAGGTTAATTGTTAGGCTGTGTGTGTGTGTAGGCAAGCAGTGTACTCACTGCTTCACATACTTGCTCTCATTTGATCCTAGTCTCGAAAGTTTCAACTATACTTGAGTTTCACTAAAACATTGTCTTAGGTTGGAATGAGTTCTTGAGGTGGCAGTTTGTCTAACACTGAACTTAGTTATCTGAAGTTCTTAATAAAAGTAATTGTATATATAGGGTCATATTCTCGGGACTCTAGTTACTTATTAGTAACAATATTATTCATCTCTACGGTATAGGAGCGACATACTATTTTATGGAGCTTATTGTAAACTAAACAACTTAGAGCATTAGGTGGAGTAGGCTAATGATAAAAGCTGAATATTTAAAACATTTAGTTTTGAGAGAGACCTACGAAGGCTTTAAAATCTTAATGTTTTAGGTAGTTAAAAATTGTGGCCTTCACTCAAGGCTGTTGATGTTTTAATTATCTTATTAGACCACATGCAGAAGTGCTTGGTGGTAGATTGAGCAAAACATCTAAGACCAGAAAACTTTTGATACTAGAATTAGTAAATTGAAAGAAAATTGAAATGTCTTAAAATTTTTTCAGTGTTTCCTGGCTGGCATGGCTCAGTGGTTGAGCATCAACCCATGAACCAGGAGGTCACTGTTCAATCCCCAGGTTGGGGCATGAAGGGGGTAGCTGATCAATGGTTCTCTCTCATTGTTGATGTTTCTTTCTCCCAGTCCCTTCCTCTCTGAAATAAAAATATATTTTTAAAAAGTTTTTTAATGTTACATAATTAAAAATTCAGGTACGCCAGCAGTCACTAGTTGTGAACATTTGCCATTTTTCTGTGGATTTTCAAGTTCTCTTTTTTTGGCCGTGCTACTTATCACTAAGTAGGAATGCTATAAACATAAATTTCCATGGAGCTAAGCCAAAGAAGTCCTCTCCAAAGTAATGACGTCAACAGCTACGTGGGGCAGCCTAAGTCCGATCCTGGTTCCTGACCTGGTAGCTCTGGAAGCCTGGTTTACTGAAAAAGCCGCCACTGTTAGACTCTCTAGTCCACATATTGACCTTTTCTTCTCCCTCCCCCCTTCAACAGCAGACTTTCCCTAGTGCAGAAAAAAGAATCTATATCAGGAAAAGGTCAGACTCCTGACCTGCCTCCTGCATTTTAAGCTTTTGGAAGGGAATAAGTAAAATAATATTTTGAAAGTGCCAGACTCCTGTGAGGGTATGTACTAAGTCTGCTTAGTAAAGTCTGTTTATTTTAAGGTGGCGAAATTTAGGGCCCATAACAGGTTATTAGCAAAATAAAAAAAATTAAAAAAATTATTAGAAGGAACAGTTCTTAGGTCTGCTTTTGTTGTTACCTCCAGATCTGTTCTTTCCCGGGACCACTTTATAAACCTGCTCTAACTGCCTCCCACAGGAAGAGTATGCAAAAGTGAAAAGTTCTTATAATTCTAGGGTCTGGAAATTTACCGTGAAGTGTATTTTACAATATTGGATAAACTCCTAAACCTTGTATATTTAAAACTTGCTGTCTTATTTGGATGTTGGAAATAACACATTTCCCTATTGTTAGCAAAACATTAGGAAGATGTGTGGCGGTCATAGAAGTTAATGGACTCTGTCGTATAAATTTGTACCTTCCCATGTGTGGTGGGCTTTAATTTCAGTACAGGAAAGGAACCATTTCCTAGTGCTAAGTATATTGTGTTAGCAGGTCCCATTCTATTTAACTTGGTGATTAAATACCAATAACAGTAGCCCAGGGGTTTGGGGAATCATATTAGTAAGCCATCAAATTTCCTCTTTAGAGGGCACTGACCCAAAGTATCTGACCTTGTAATATCTTAACTTCTGGCCTTGGGGTCTTTGTAAATGACTTGTTTGGAGTAGGGGTATCTCTGAAAGCATTTTCAGTTCCTTTATACCAAGAAATTCTCCTTTTCCGAATTCCTCTGTGACAGTAGGAAACAACATATTACATTTTTTAAAGCGTAGCTCTTTAATTGTTGAAAATTAGGAACTCTCGAGTAAAATGCCTAATAATCATCCAGTTAGCCTTACACAGTGGTTTCAGATATGACTAAATATTAAAATAATCTAACTGGTTGTGATGGGCTTTTTTTCTTGTATAAATACATATGGTTTCTATATTAAATGAATTTTGATAGATTTTTAATAATGACTAAATACAGACCTCTGGATTTCACACACATACACACACAATCTATTTTCTGAATTTTCTAAGACTTTTGAAATCAGTTGACTTCATTCCCTGGCTTAAAAATCTCTTACAACAATGAATATGCTTAATGCCATTGAGCTATATAGACTTAGAAATGGTTAAAATGGTAAACTTTATATTTTGTATGTTTTAACACACCCATATCCACACCCCACAGACATCCCATTATTGTCAGGAAAATCCAAACCCCTTTGCATAACCTGCAGGGCCACACATGATTTGGCCCCTGCTTCCTTCCCTGCTCCTCCCTATACTCCCATTATGCTCCAGCCTTCCTGCCTTCTTTCAGTTCCTTAAATTTGTTTTTTAGCACTTGCTCTGCTTCCATTCTTAGTGCAACCTTGTTTTTCAAGTCTCAGCTCTAG